AGGAAGAGAGAGAGACAGAGAGACAGGCAGATAGGCAGAGAGAGACAGAGAGAGAGAGACAGAGAGACAAAGAGAGCTGATAATTCAGAAGTGAAAAAGCAGCACTATCAGCTCTGAGAGGCTGCTGTGAGGTCAGTTCTGATTTCCACCTGCTCTGGGCTGCTCGCTGTGTCTACACTCGCTGAGTTGAACACCGTGTTACACTCTTCCTCAGTTCGTGGTCCTTCATCCTAAAACGTTCTCCTTTTAATGGAATCGGGAATGCGGTGGGGAGTGCACAGTTCCTCTGGGTTGCTGGCATGAACAGTTAAAATGCCCTCCTAATGCAGGCACTTCCGGCTTCGGGGGAGAAGGAGCATTGCTCTCCCTTTGTCAGCAGCAAGAGCCCGAAAGGGTGGAAGGACTCGTGCTGCACAGAGCTTAAGCTCTGCAGAGACTCTGTGCAAGGCCCTGGCTGGTTCCCTGCCCCTTGCCCTCTGCTGTGGAGTCTTCCACGTGGCATCCAGATGTGGCAATGTCAGAGGCAGTCTGAGGCTGGGAGGAATGCATGGAGCGGGAGGGAGGGTATGGAGTGGAATTAAATGGAATGGAGTGGGGAGTAGAGCAAAGAGAACTTCAGGTTGCACTTTGTAATAGGGCACATGGTGTTTCTTAAAGCCATTGTCCCCAGGGTGTGTGCCTGTGTGTAGTGGGAGCTCTGGGTGGCATTCTTGCATTCTTCTTGCTGGAGGTCAGGTGGATGGTTTGACAACACGCTGCAGATGAGCCTCCCTCTGTCCCAGGGCTGAGGTTGCCAACACCCTCAGCCCTGGGACAAACTCTTGGAGAGCCAACGCCCTCCCAGGCCTGCAGCTCCTGTCCTCTGAAGGTGCAGCTCCAGGATCAGATACCTGCTGAGAGTGAAGCTGGGTCTCACTGCGGGAGACGGGGAGGTGAAGCTGCAGACAGAGGTGCATTAATAGGGTCTGGCAGCCTGTGTTTGTCCCAGAACCCACCACGAGTACCTGCTCTTTGCTCTTAACTCCTCAGTCTAGAGAAGGTCTCCTGGTTTTTACCTCCAGTGAGCTGATGCCAGGTCCATGTGTGAGCTCCTTAATGGAGGAGAGTGTTGTGGCCTCTTCCTACAAGGTCGCGTCCTCACAAGGAGTTACCTATGAGCAACTCAAAGAGTGTGTCCGCTTTAATCTCTTTTATTCAACAGGGTTATGATAAGACGACATTCTCCATGAATCTGCACCTGGGCCGAACCACGTGTGGGAAATTTGAAGACGACATTGACAACTGTCCTTTTCAGCAAGGCCCAGAGCTGAGCAATGTAAGACAGGCACCAGCTTCCCTCATGTCCACAGCTGTGGATGCTGCATGGGGTGTCGTGTGGGCACGGGTGCAGCTGACAAAGAGACTTAGAGGAGTGAACCCGCCGCGGCCTCCACCAGGCCCCCTGCTTGTGCCTTTGTGGGGGGCGCAGAGGGCAGGCAGCCAGGGGTCCACTTGCAGGCTCCTGGCCAACCTGAGTTTCCCGACTCTGCCCTGTCACGCCATTGCAGCTGCCTGTACCCAGGGCACATGGGCTTCAGACTGCTCTTGGCCTCTGGGGTCCTGGTCTTCTAGGCCTCAGTAGAGGCTTCTCCTCTCTGGTCTTCCCCACCCAGCCTTCCTCTGCCTTCTGAAGAAAGAGCCTGGTGGGGATCTGACATCACCTCTCTCTGAGTGTGCAGTTCTTGGTCTGCCCCTGTCCTGACCCGGAGCCTGAGGGAGGTGGAGCCTGGGGGGGGTCCACTGCCCTCTCTCCCTGGTCCTGTCCTGGCTTCTGCTGAGCTGCAGTGCCTGCTCTGGGGCCAAGGACATAAGGAACCCTGACACCGTGCCCAGCACAGCTAGCATGATTTCACCCCCTTATCAGAGGACTGGGTAACAGGCTATGTAACTGTTTCCATCTGAGCGCAGCTCCCTCTGGACTGGGGTGTGCCGTGCTGTTCTTAGGGGATGAAAGACACCAGCCAGCCTGGGTTTCCCCTGGAGGCCACTGGCTAGGGAGGAGGGTGCTGATACAGGGGTTCCTTGGTCAGGAGGGAGCCATAAATCACCCTGAAAGTCTGGAACAGCCCATAACTCAGGCTGGAGGGCCACACTTGGGGACTGGAGCCCAGCCCTGGAAATGGGCAAGACGGAGATGGAACCTGTGTTGATAGCAGAAGCCACAAGTTTCTTCTTCCCGAGCCCTCACCCACTTTCCCTTCCTGCGCTTGCTCCCGCAGACCCACACCTGCTTCTTCACCATCGGAATAGAACCCTGGAGGACACATTTTGAACTCTGGAACAAGACATGCTCAGCCGGGCGTTCCTGAGTGGGACCCAGCCACAGGCCTGGCCACATGCTGTTGGCTCCTTTCCAGCACACTGGCCGTTCCTCAACACGGCCCTGCAGTGCCTGAGCAGCTCTGTGCTCGCGTGTTCTTATTTTCCATGTGTTAGATACTCATGCTCAGGTATCTTAGAAATTCTTCATTGTCTAACTTGATCATGTAATATACATCTTAACAATCAGCATTTTAAGAAGCGTTGTGTGACGTGATTCCAGACGGAGGGCCTGGGCAGTTGATGGAGTTATTCTCAGCACAGCAGCCTCCTGGGCTCTCAAGGGTAAGTTTTCTCCCCACTGTGCCTCCTGAGCTGCCTCCAGAGGCATAGCTGAGCTGCCTCTGAGCTGCCGCCTCAGGGCTCATGCGGGCTGCAGAGGCGCAGTGACAGTGGCCTCCCGGGGCATTGGATGTGCACATGGAGCAGAACAGGGACTCGGGATCCCACACAGCACATGTGACATTGGCCCTAATCCCCAGGGTGCATGTCTACTCACTGTGTTAGCTGAGAACAACCGGCAGCTGTGGACACCCTGCCCACATGTCCCAGACCACGCCTCAGCACGCCTCCTCTGCAAAGATTTTACAAGTAACTATTTTGGTCTTTGTAGGCCATATAGTCACTTTCTCAACTATCCAACAATGCCTTAGTGTGTTGAAAGCAGCCATAGACAAAAATAACCAGGAGTAGTCTTCCTCGGGCCGTGGTTGCCAACCCCTAAGGTCAAGTCTGAGAGTCACACTCCATCTTCAGGAGGGAGGCAGGTGAATGTCCCAGTCTCCCAGCGTCCGGGCACCCAATTTAGAGGCGTGTGCCACATGGTTCTCCGAGCTCCGCAGCAGGATGAACGCCCGGCCCCAGTGTAATACATTGGTAACAGACACGCTGCGTTTCCCCTTCTCTGTTTCCCTTTCTCACTTGTGCCTCCTGGGATCACCTCCAAATAAACTACCTGCACCTGCCAGTCTGCGTTTCAGGGTCACCCTGCGGGGTCCCAGCACTGTGTAGACCATTATCACTGGGTGTGCCCTCCACAGACGTGCTGGGAGGGTGGTCCCTAGACCATGGGCATTCAGGCAAGCAGAGGGGAGAGCCAGGCCCGGAGACCTCCCTGTGGCTTGCAGGCACTGAGGTGGGCACGGCTGCCGCACTTGTCCTATCTGGTCTCTGGACCCCACACAGCCCTGCCCTGCCTTGTTCCACACTTGAGCAGGTTTTCCTTTGAGACCCTCCCATTAACTCCCCTGCGCGCTCCCATCCTTGGTCCTTCTCTTGACCCTGACACATCAGCAGAAGGAAGCTCAGAGGAGGCGCTTTATCCACAGTGATTCCCGCAAGTGTCTTCCAAAGAGTCAGCCCCACTCATTTCATTCGAACATCATTTCTGAGGCAGTTCCCAGGACAGGGTCTCATGGGGAGTGAGCCCGCTGTGGGGGGTGACCTGGCCCAGGACCCTGTGGAATCAGAGCCCTCCCTCATGGAGCAAGGGGAGAGGAACCACCCCAAGGCACTGGCCCCGGGAGGATGGGCTCGTTCCTGCCAGACTCAGATTACACGTGTGGGTCTTTAACAGTTTTCTGCATCCCCAATAAATGTAGGTCCACAATTTCTGGGACATGTTGACTTCTACGTATTTCCAGGACTCTCTGTCATGCATGACATGACCTCAGTGCACAGGCTTAATTAGAGGACAGGTCTTGCATTAAGGGCCCAGTTCCTTGGGAAAGACCTCCTCTTTCCCTGCCTGTCTGTGCTTACTCCTAGAGATAGCTACACTTCTCCTTCAGGAATCTCTGTGGTGAAGAGTCAGAAAATTAGGTTCATAGATGCTGAGTGTAGCCATGAGGTGGGCCCCTGATCAAATTCTGTGCCGGAGGCAAAGGCCTGGGAACGTCTGGTCAGCAACGTTCCTGGACCCCAAGCCCAGGAAGGGAAAGGGGCGCAGATTGTAGCGGTGTCACGAGCTTCCTCTTTCCCCAGAAATGTGAGTTCTCATTCAACTCTGCACCCCTCAGCTCCTAATCTCTCATCTGTTGTCTCTGAGTCATTTATATAAACATGGCAAACTCTGTCTGGCTATCCGCAAATGGTTACAGCTGAAATCAAACGAGGCACTAGAAGAAAACACTAAATATAAATTAGTTCCACAACGTGCTACATGCACCCTGCTTTATTCTGCACTTTCCCACAGATGGGCCACTTTCCCATCTGCTGGGGGACATCTGGATAGTTTCCTCATTTTTCCCAGGAGGTCAGGGCCGGGACACAGCCCTGGGGAGATTGACCATTGTCGTGAACACAAAGTGACAAGGAAAATGTGAGGAGGTTTTTGCAGACTCTACCAACCTCTCTTACTGAGGCAGAGGAAGGGAAGATGAGGTGGAATTTGGGGAGGGCAGGGAATTGCCAGGATACATACACAAGGACATATCCCAGCTGTCAATCCTGGCCCTGCATGTGGTCTCAAGACAACTCCCACTCACTTCACACATGCCCTTCAGGTCCCGAGATCCAGAGTCCCTCATGTCCACATACCTCCTGTGAGTTGGAGACCTGATTCTTACCTGGCCTCTGCTGAGCCCAGAAAAGGAACTGTCCTAGTCTCTCGGTGCTGCTATAACAGAATAACACAGGCTGGGTAATTTATAGGGAATGAAAATTTATTTTTCAGAGTTCTAGAGGCTGAGAAGCCCAGGAGCAAGATACCAGCATCTTGTGAGGGCCTTCCTGCTGTGTCCGCACGTGGTGGAAGGGCCAGGTACACTGCATGAAGCCTCTGTTATAGGGGCCTTAATCCCACCCATGAGGAAAGAGCCCTCGTGGCCTAATTATCTCTTAAAGGCACCACCTCTTAATTCCATCACTGGATTTTGGATGGGAGGCATTCGGTCCATAGCAGGAATATTCCCTGCTTTGTAAGGTGAGTTTTTGACATTGTCTTTTTTTTTCAAAGTTATTCATAAGGTAAAGAAAAAGAATGGCTTGATGGCAAGATGACACTTGAATCCATGTCATCTGAAGAGCAAGGTCTTTGATGGGAGGGTGAAGGTGGGATTTGGCATCCCAGGGGCTGTGTCCATCCTGCGTGGCCACAGATAGCCTTGGTAGAAAAGGAGACAATCTGGGGGTTTCTCAGGAGCCTCTGTGTCCACATTTCATGCTCACACAAAATGTTGCTGTTAGTCAATAAACTCAAAAATCCCCTGAGTCAGTGGAAGTGCCTTAGTCTTGATTCTTCATCCTGAGTCGGACTCAATGGGTCAACAGAGGCCAGATGGTTTTGAAGAGCTAAACCTGAACCAATGCATGGATCACATTAACAGAACTGACCTTAGATGTGGGCAGTAGGGTTTGGTGGGCCTAAGACAAGTTATGAGTATGATGGAAACAAGGAGCCCAGGGCATGTGAGCACCCAGGTCCCTCCAGTGTTCAATCACACTGTCAGGGCTCAGCAAAGAACACCCTCCTTCAGAGGCTGCTCATAAGACCACGTAGGGCTGGCCAGCTCAGGCCAAGAGGCAAGGGAGACCAGTGGCCCCAGAAGCACAGAGCTTGGGGATGAAGAAGGAGGTGGATGGGAGAGATGTGTCCTCAGGTGCTGCAGGTCGCAGCATAGGGACCCTGATCCTGAGGCGGGGAAAGGATGGAACAAGAACTGCTCTGGCAGTGTCCCGGCGACCCAGCCAGCACACGGGAGAGGAGGGGCCCAGGGTGGGGTGGACCATGAAGAATGCCACTTCATATGCCCCCACCCAAGAGCTCAGCTGCTGGCAGATGTCAGGGAGTGCAGGTTGAGAACTGAACTCTTTTCTTTCTTTCTGAAATTTCTGTTTAAGGCCCTGAGGAATCATGCCTTACAAACCATAAAATCTCATCAAAAAGGTACTTTCTGACCGAGCAGATTGTGGCTTGCTTTTCCAACTGACTGGCATGGCATCACCTGACAGGTAGAAGATCCCCTTAGCTTCCTTTCTACTTACTCCATGTTTTAGACAAAGCTTAACTTTTTCTTCCAATTTCCAACTAAAGAATCCCTAAACACACCTAAAACTTGTAAGCCCATGCCTTCAGATGTCCCACCTTTTTGGGCCGAACAAATGTATACCTTCCATGTATTTGTTTATAATTTTGCCTGCAACTCCTGGCTCCATGACATGTATGAGGCCAACCTGTGACCTGACCACTCAGGCACACTTTCTCAGGACCTCTCGAGATTGTGTTTCCCTGTCTTAGTCACTCGTATGACTCAGAATAAACCTCTTTAAATATTTTAGCAGAATTTGGTGTTTCCATTGTCGAGATGAAGGGTGTCCTGATGTTTGATCTCAGCCAGAAGCCCCTGGGCATCTCAGGTTGCCACTTAAAGTAGATCTGGTTCCACTATTAGTGTGGCTCCTCCAGAAGCTGACTTTGAGACAAAAATTCAAGTACAAGTGGCTTATTTAGAAGTGATTCCAGAAAGGCAGTTGGAAACTGGAAATGGTAAGGGGCAGATGCAGCGTGGACAGAGAGACTGGCAATACGGGTAGCTAGAGCTCAGTCTTGCAGAGCGCTCCTCAGGGACTGCGTGGAATGCAACTCACAACCTGGTGTCATATCCACGGGACAAAAGCCCAGGATGTTTATCCTCCAACCTCTATCATTGGCTGAGGGCTCCTCTCATGGGTATTACTCACTGGCAGTCCAGCCTGCCCCTCATTGGCAGAGAAAGCCTCCACACAGAGAAGCTCAGAAGGTTGCAGTCGGCTCTGTCAGAGAAGAGCCCTCAAGGAGAGCTGTCATGCAGGTGGCCCCAGAGCTTCACCATCCCCCTCATGTGTCTAAGTTAGAACCTGACCCTGTGTTATTACTGCTATTACATAATATTGTCTCCTGGCCCCTCCCTGCACATTGGTGCTTCTGTCTACACATCAGAATTTCAGAAAGTGGCTCTTCATGGTCAGGTTATCCCTTCATCACCTCAGTCCACTCCTCATACACATGCACACACATATGCACACATGCGTACACACTGTAGTGGCCAGCCTCCCGAATGGCCTCCAGTGAACCTAATCTCCTATCTTTATGTCCTTGTATAGTCCATACTGAGCCAGGGCTGTTCTGGATTGAGTCCAGGTTACAAAACATATGATAGCTTCCATTTTGGTCTCTGGAACACTGTCTGGAGCAAGTCAACTGGGACACTAAGCTCCCTGCAATCTTGTGGAGAAGCCACGTGGAGAACAGAGATCTCAGTCAATGGCCGCTGCCAACCTGCAGCCACAGGAGTGAGCTGCCTTGGAAGGGGTTCTCCAGAGTCCGTCAAACCTTCAAATAATGGCACACAGTCAATATCAGAGTGTAACGTGATGAAAGGTGACAACCAGAACCGCCTAGCCAGGCCACCCAGAGATGCCTGACTCACAGACACCATGAGACATATAAATAAATTGCTTGAGCTGTTAAGTGACCAGGTGATTTGTCATGCAGCATTAACTAACTCATACACCTAATTGTGAGCACACATTTATGCACATTTATACACACACACACACACACACACACACACACAAATGCAGTCTTCTTTCCCTGCACCATTAACTTCTCTGCTTCAACTCAAAACCAGTGATCCTACTGACTCTCTGGTTGGATCTGTTTAAAACTAGATGTTTCTAAGCCAACAGGACATGTCTTCCAAAAAGTCCTGGGAAGGGAGATTTCTACAGAAATCCATGGACAGAAACTCCCAAGACAGCCAGACTCTCAGAGCCTTACAGAAATTGCCCCCTATGATTGAAGCAATTGAGGGCTGGGTTCTCTGGTTATCTAGAAAGAGCTGTCAGTGAAAGGTAATTTGTACTCAGGGTTGGTTGAGGTGTAGAAACAGCTTCCACTTATTGGTAGCAGATTATCCCAGCTAGGAGGTGAAGTATCCAGCTAGAATTGTCTGTGCAATGCTGTCAAAACACACCACAAATTTTCAACATCAGCCCACAAAGAACACAAAAGCAAAAAGGCCAAACAAATGAGGTTAATGGGTTAACTGTGCTGTTCTAGTTCTTGCAAGTGTCTTTTCTTCCTCTTTAAAATGGAAATGAGTGTGGCAGAACATGCTAGAAGATCCCTATATGTCTTTGCAATGTTTCTTCAGCATGGTGAGTTCGAATTTCCATGGTTTGGATGCAACAATAAAGGTACAGAAAACCATCTGAAAGAGAAAAAAAAACCATAGTCAGCTTCTATTTTAAAAAGAAAAAACAAAAGCATAAATTCCTATTTCCAGGTAGGAGTTAGATTCAGCAGGGCTAAGAGGCTGTCTGAGTCAGCCACGCTCCATCAGACAACAGAGGATCCAACTTCTGCAAAGAGAATAAAATACCCGGGAATACAACTAACAAAGGACATGAAGGACCTCTTCAAGGAGAACTACAAACCACTGCTCAGGGAAAGCAGAGAGGACACAAACAGATGAAAAAACATTCTATGGTCATGGTTAGGAAGAATCAATATTGTGAAAATGGCCATACTGCCCAAAGCAATGTATAAATCCAATGCTATCTCCATCAAGCTACCATCGACCTTCTTCACAGAACTAGACAAAAAACCACCTTAAACTTCATATGCAACCAAAAAAAAAAAAAAAAAAAAAAGACTGCATAGCCATGACAATGCTATGCAAAAAGAACAAAGCTGGGGTCATCATGCAACCTAACTTCAAACTATACTACAAGGCTACAGTAATCAAAACAGCATGGTACTTGTACCAAAACAGAGATATAGACCAATGAAACAGAAGAGAGGCCTCGGAAGTAATGCTACACATCAACAACCATCTGATCTTTGACAAACCTGACAAAAACAAGCAATGGGGAAAGGATTCCATGTTTAATGAATGGTGGTGGGAAAACTGGCTAGCCATGTGCAGAAAGCTGAAACTGATCCCATTCCTTACACCTTATACAAAAATTAACTTCAGATGGATTAAATATTTAAACATAATACCATAAAAACCCTAGAACCATTCAGCACATAGGCATAGGCAAGGACTTCATGACTGAAACACCAAAAGCAATAATAACAAAGGCCAAAATAGGCAAATGGGATCTAATTAAACTATGAGTTTCTGCACAGCAGAAGAAACTATCATCAGAGTGAACCAGCAGACAACAAAATGGGAAAATTTTTTTTGCAAGCTACCCATCTGACAAAGGGCTAATATCCAGAATCTACAAAGAACTAAAATAAATTTACAATAAAAAGACAAACAATCCCATCAAAAAGTGGGGAAAGGATATGAACAGACACTTCAAAAAAAGACATTCATGCAGCCAACAAACATAAAAAAATGCTCATCATCACTGGTCATCAGAGAGATGCAAATCAGAACTACATTGAGATACCATCTCATGCCAGTCAGAATGGCGATCATTAAAAAATCTGGAGACAACAGATGCTGGAGAGGATGTGGTGAAATAGAAACACTTTTACAGTGCTGGTGGGAGTATAAATTAGTTCAACCATTGTGGAAGACAGTGTGGCGATTCCTCAAGGACCTAGAAATAGAAATTCCATTTGACCCAGCAATTCCATTACTGGGTATGTACCCAAAGGATTATAAATTATTCTATTATAAAGACACATGCACATGTATGTTCACTGTGGCACTGTTTACAATAGCAAAGATTTCGAACCAACCCAAATGCCCATCAATGATAGCAGAGACTTGGAACCAACCCAAATGCCCACCAATGATAGAATGGATAAAGAAAATGTGGCGCATATACACCATGGAATACTATGCAGCCATAAAAAAGGATGAGTTCCTATCCTTTGCAAGGACATGGATGAATTGGGAAACCATCATTCTCAGCAAACTGACACAAGAACAGAAAACCAAACACCACATGTTCTCACTCATGAGTGGGTGTTGAACAATGAGAACACATGGACACAGGGAGGGGAACATCACACACTGGGGTGTGTTGCGGGGTGGAAGCCTAGAGGAGGGATAACATTAGGAGAAATACCTAATGTAGGTGATGGGGGAATGGAGACAGCAAACCGCCATGGCATGTGTGTACCTATGTAACAATCCTGCAATATCTGCACATGTACCCCAGAACTTAAAGTATAATAAATAATAAAACAGAGGATCCGGCTGCCTCACCAGAGTAGTCCTCATTAGTTCATCTGCTGTGATCTGAGCCATCATGGGTGTGGCTTTATTCACTCCAGGAGAGCAAGAGTCAGAGCACAAGGATGAGTTATTATTGGAAAACCCCCATCTCCAGCCCTGGCCCTCATTCAGCCACATGGACTCCCTGTAGTCCACGGAGACCTCATGCTGCAGAGAGTCCTACCCAGAGAAGGCAACATTGCAAGAGTAGTACCAGGTGCTTCACACCTTGGGGAACCAACATTTGCCGGCAACCAAGGAGGAAAGCTTGCAGCTGGAGCACTGGAAGGAGACAAGTAGCTCTCATCCCACAGTCCTGCAGAAGCTGAGGGTTTCAGGCTCGCTGCATGGCGGTGAGAACACTATTTCCCTCCGTCTCTCTAAAATCTTCACTTACAATAAAAATGTGAAGTAAGAATACTTCCATGAAGTCAATGTAAGGTTGAATGACAGCATCAAGCAGGGAAGAAGTTGTACAAGATATAAAGGTGCAGGAAGAGTTTCGGGAGAAAACAGTGTACAAAACCAGAAACTCAGACGGGGCCTTGCAGGACTCAGTCCAGGCTTGTGCACCTGGGCAGGAGGGGGGTCCAGGGCTGGGGAAGCCTGTGTGTGCCCATGGTGTGAAGAGAGAGAGTGGGCATTGGGTTTACCAGAGAGTTCACTAAGTCACTGCTTAACTTCCAGGCCAGCCAAGGTAGACAGAAAACAATCACTAGGAAGCAGAGTACCTGAACAGCTCAATTAGCAAGCTCAGTCCTAGAGGATATTTTAGCGATGTATATTAAAATCCTTAAGAGGTGACAAATGGATAAATAATTCAATTTCTGAGAATAGTCCCTATAAAGAAACAACAATCAGGCAAACTGACACAGAAATAAGACTATTCATTACAGCACTGTCCAAAGCAGCTAAAAATTAGGGAAAACCCTAAATAATCAATTATCAGAATTCACTAACTAATATATGGAAGCATCATAAAATAATACAGAATAGTTTCATTACATGATACTCTCTAATAATCTTACAGTTTTGGAAATGCTTAGGATTTATTATTAAATGAAAATCCAGACCATGAAACAGTATTTGTTATGCTCCCAACTACAAAAAATATAAATATAAAATATTTTTAAACTAGAATATATGCCAGTATATTTACAGTGGTCAGCTTTATGTAAGGGTATTTATAGTTGATTTTTAAATGCTTAGTATTTTTGAAAATTTCCAAATGTTTTACATTAAATGAATCAGGCCAATAATTATTTTAAAATAATATTTTTTTAAAATTTATTTTCCAAGGATCCCAGATAGCCACACTTTCTTCCTTTCTAAATACCAGTAAATAAACCAAGAAAACAGATAGGGTCCAATCTATAGGAGCTTTATGAAACAGGAAAGGGCCCCATGCAAGGGAAGAGACAGCTGAAAATCTCCACATGATAAGAAACAGATGGGGGCAAATGGATAAAATTTATCGAGTGCCAAGCACTCAAGATAGAGGATGCAATCATAAGAGAAAGCCAAGACAGTACACCACCTCCAAACCTCCCAAACCCGAAGCCATCCCGAGTTTCCTCCTTTCATAGTCCTTGGCTAATCTATCAGCAAATTCTGAACAAACTTTCACAGACCCAGAACCTAACTAACATCATCTCTTGTTTGACGTATCTCAATAGAATACTGATTGACTCACATGGCTCACACATCTCCACCCCATCTCCTGTGCTGAATGGTCTCCATTTGTCCCCCAAGGCCTGCACTTCTTCTGTCTCTACCTGGCATGTCTTGGAAAACTGACTTCTATGGGCAGTTCCAATGGGCACCCTTGCCCTCTGATCTCCATGGGCTACTCCAGTGGGCACCCATACCCTCTGATCTCTGGGGGTTGCTCAATGGACACCCTTATCCTCTGACCTCTCCAGACTGTGCCAATGGGCACCCTTGGCCTCTGACCTCCACAGGAAGCTCCAATGGGCACCCTTGCCCTCTGACCTCCACGGGCAGCTCCAGTGGGCACCCTTGCCCTCTGACCTCCATGGGCAGCTCCAGTGAGCATCCTTGCCCTCTGATCTCCATGGGCAACTCCAGTGGGCACCCATACCCTCTGATCTCTGGGGGTTGCTCAATGGACACCCTTATCCTCTGACCACTGCAGACTGTGCCAGTGGGCACCCTTGCTCTGTGATCACCATGGACAGTGTCAAGTGGGCACCTTCTGACTTCCAGTTGAGTTTGGCCAACGGGGGATAAAATCAGAAACGTGGGAAGCAGGAGGAGAGTGAGCTCAGGAGTCGCAGTAGGTGAGCTGTGTTTCTCCACCTAAGGACTAAGCCCCAACAGGGGCTGCCTGATTGCTCTAGAATGAAGGATATTAAGAAGCAAATTCTATAAATAAAACCTAGAAATATTAAAACATCCCACCATGCTACAAATTAGAGAGATGACAAGGTGAAGTGACGAGGTGTTATCACCTATATCACCCTGGAGAAATTTAAGATTCCTAACAGCAACTGCTGGTACAGCTGTGGAAAAATGGACAATTATACCACTGATGGAAGCTATGCTGGTTTAACCACTCTGGGGAGTAAACGTGAAGCCAGGCATCACGCACGGCCTGCCACACTGCAGCGGAAGTCGTGCATGGTCCGGGACACAGCAGCCCTACTCCAGTGCTGTCTCTGTGGAGATTCTCGCTTCCTGGTACAGTGGGCATGTATCAGGACTTTCACTGAAGCATTATTGCTAAAACTGAAAAACTCCTGAAATCCCAGCACTTGCGGAGGCTGGAGCAGGAGGATTGCTTGGTCCCAGGAGCTCGAGACCAGCCTGGGCAACATAGGGAGGCCTACATCTCCAAAAAAATATAAAAATTACCCAAGATATTAAAAATCCAGTCTTATAAACAAAACTTAGAAACATCCAGGTGTGGTGTGCATGCCTGTAGCCCCAGCTACTCAGGAGGCTGAGGTGGGAGAATCACTTGCACCTGTGAGGTTGAGGCTTCAGTGAGCCAAGGTCAGGGCACTGCTCTCCAGCCTGGATGACAGAGTGAGACCCTGTCTCTAAAAGTAAATAAATCAAATAAAAATTAAAGTGAGAAACTGAAAACAGACAAAAGTGTTCAAAATAGGGAATGGTAAAATACAGTATTATGTAGTCATACAATAGCTTAATATACAGTAATGAAAATGATGTTTGGCCTATTTCTATATGCACCAAATGGCCCTAAAAATCATTCAGCATGAATAAATAACAGTGGATTGTACCAACATGGATAAACCTCGAAATACATTGTTGAGTCCAAAAAAAATAAAGTTCCAAAATGCAGGTAAATTTTGAAAAGCACACAGGATTCTTTTACATAGGTAAAAGTTTTTAAACGTAGGAAGACATGTTACCCATCAACGATAGAAGAGTGGTTATCTGTGACGGGGGAGCATAATAGATGTGCGACGTTTCACTTTTTAAGAGAAATATTTAATAATACCCAGTAGGATGGCTGTTATCAAAATGAAGACATAAAGAATGCTGATGAGGGTGTGGAGAGAAGAGGGCCTTTGCACACTGTTTCTGGGACTGTAAACAGGTGCAGCCATTATGAAAAACAGTATGGAAGTTACCTAACAAAATTAAAACCGAACTATCATGTGACTCAGCAATCCCTCTGGAAAGCACATCATCACCTCATAAGGACACGTGCATCCTGCGTCTCCTGTGTTCACTGTAACACTATTCACCACAGCCAGCACGGGTGGAAACAGCCCGTGCAAAGAAAAGGCAGCACACACACTACGAGGTGTTCTTCAGCCTTCGAGAAGAAGGAGATCCTGTCATTGGCCTCACGGATGAAGCTGGAGGACACTGAACTACATGAAACAAGCCAGATCCAGAAAAAAACATATTCATGATCACACTTACATGTAGAATCTAAAAAGATAAGAGTCAAATATACAGAGAAAGGATGAAAATAATGGTTGCCTGCAGAGCGGGTTGGGGTGAGGGCTGGGAGACACAGGCTAGAAGTTACAAATCAGCAGATGCAGGATGACATTTAATGTACGTTATTATAGTTAATTAAATGACACGAAATTTGGGATTTCTGCTAGATGACTAGATTTAGCAGTTCATGTCGCAAAAACAATGCAGAACTATGTGAGATTATGGAAAGGTTATTTTACCTCACTATGGTAACCATTTTACTATCTATATGAATCACATATTATCATGTGATAATATACCCGATACAATGTATTTAAAAAAAAATAAAAATAAATTTTAGAAAACAGATATCTAAAATTAATGTAATAAAATGATAACAGGTATAAAATGTGTGTGGTAGGTACATGAGCATTAGATATATCATTCTTAGTACTTTCCTGGATTTTTGAAATATCACTTAATTTAAAATTATTCCTCATCTGTTACAAGAATTCACTCTCTAGATTTAGCCACCCGCTTGCACTTGACATTCTGCTGTGACATCTGCTCTTCATTGAAATATGAGGTGTTTTGTTTTGTTTTTTTTGAGATGGAGTCTCGCTCTGTCACCCAGGCTGGAGTACAGTGGTGGAATCTCGGCTCACTGCAACCTCCGCCTCCCAGGTTCAAGCAATGCTCCTGCCTCAGCCTCCCGAGTAGCCGAGACTACAGGCATGTGCCATTATGTCCAGCTAATTTTGTATTTTTAGTAGAGATGGTGTTTCACCGTGTTGACCAGGCTGGTCTTGAACTCCTGACCTCAGGGGATCCACCTGCCTCAGCCTCCCAAAGTGCTGGGATTACAGGCGTGAGCCACCACGCCCCACCTAAATATGAGGATATTTTTAATTGGCATTATGTCTGAGCACTTTTTGCCAATCACTGACCTGCCACTAATTCTGCCAATCCAAGTGTTGTGCCTGCTTTAGGTATTTAGTAAACAGATTTAAAAATACACAAGGCACAGAAACATATATATAAGGATTTTCAATTTAGTTCCATTTATGAAAGAAAAAACTTGGAAATAATATCTATGAGAAGATTACCAAGACAAATGTGAAAAAGAGAAGTTACATCCAAAAAACACACTGTGTGTCAGCAGTTATTTAAATAAAGAAGGAAGGAGAAAAAAGACAATGTCATTCATGTAAATTTACAGTGAAATTACCTTAAGTCCACACAAATGACCCCAGCGGAAACTCCTGGGCAGGGGGCAGAATTGGGGCATCACCCAGGAGTCCAAGGGCATGACCTCACTGTTATCACTTACATTTTTATGAGAATATACCTTCAGAAAATATTTATATACATTTTAAAAGATTAAATTTACGTCTGAAATGTATCCCTGTTAATCAAATAGGAGGAGAGTAAGGGAATTTTTTATTAAGCCGGCTCCTCTGCGATGAACTTGCCTTTGTGACGGTCCCCATCTGACAACACCCTGGCCTGGCTGAGGCTGCCCCCGTCTTGCTCTGAAGCAGCAGCAGCCTGGACCTCGGAGACTATGGGGAACATGCAGGGCCATTGGGCTGGAGTCTCGGGACAGTCCCAGAGCCTCGTAGGACTTCCATGCAGCAGCTGGACTGGTGGGACTGAGAAAGGAGTACTACAGGGTGGTTGCGGGAGAATAGAAAATTCCAGGCAGTACTTTTGCATGACTCACAAAAGGAAACTGTTGAAATAGCTGCAGAAGCTAGGGGCTGATAAGACCCTGAAGACCAGGGTGTGGACCAAGCTGGCTGATGACTGGACCCAACATGGCACACTGGATTTGACCTTAGTCTCACCTAGGCCTTCATTATGTGCTCATTAATGTACTAAATACACGACCACCGGCACAATGGAGCTCCGGAAACATCCATGTTTGATGTAAAAATGGGTGGCACATCGGGCCAAGAAATCTCCATCTTTTCCCAGGAATTTTCATGAATATTCCACCCCTTGGTTAAAGAAACCCATAAAGGTGGGAGCAGCAAACCCCCTTGCACATGGCTCTCTCCGGTGCACACCCACACTCCCTCCTTCTTGAGTGTGTTCTTTTTGCTTTGCAACAAACCTCGGTATTTTCAAACTTGTCCTTGAATTCCTTCTTATGCAGGTGTCATGAGCCTGGACACCATCCAGGGTCGAGGTCCCACCTGGCCCACCGGTATGAGAATTAGCCAAGAAGCATTGCTTGCAACAAGCCCTGCTTCAAAGCAATCACAGGCCTGTGGAGTCCCAGCAGGAGAAAAATGCTCCTCAAGGACTGCAGTGAGGGAAGGTCATGCTGTGCCTTCTCCTGGGCCAGCACCCCTCCGCAGGGGTGCCAGAGTAGGCAGTGAACCAAGATGGCAGCCATCACTTTATTCTCTGCCGGTTTTGGTGGCAGCTTCTGCTTCTTCCTCTTAGAAGCTAATTAAGAACTTTGACTCTTCTGGAAGCACCATGTTGTGAGAATGTCCCAGTGCAGGATGACCAACCCATCTTGGTTTGTCAGAATTTCCCTGGTTTTATTACCGAAAGGCCCACATCCCAGGAAAGCCTACAGTCTATGACAAACCAGGTTGACTGGATCACCCTACAAGTTTGCTCCATGAGGAGGCCCCGAGCAGAATGGGGTGGATGCCTGGCAAGCCCCTCATTGTTTCAGCCATCCCCCCGGAGGTGCCAGACACATGAGTAAAGCAGCTATCTAGAATTTTCCTGCCCCAGCAGAACACAGTGCAGATTGCAGAATACTGAGAAATAATGAGTTGATTTTACTTTAAGCCACTAAGTGTGTGAGTGTGTGTGTGTGTGTGTGTGTGTGTGTGTGTGTGTGTTGGTGGTGGTGATGGCAGCGGTGGCACATCTAGAGTGGCTACTGACAAGACACTGGCTAGAGCAGGTAGGTGGTCCCAGGACTCGAGGACAAGCAGAAATCCCATAGCTTCTGAGTTGTAGGGGGCGGGAGCCCCTAGGTTCAGCTGCAGTTGCCCAAGCCCAGCTGCAGACCTGGGCATCTCTGTGCTCTTGAGGCCTCGGAAGGCGTCCCTCCCCGCCACAGGCTTTGAGATGCCTGCTCACACTGCCTGACCTCTCCCCGCTCCTGGTGCCTGCTGTGACCATCCGGTTAGGTTGGGGCAGAGCCTGGAGCTGTCACAACCCAGCCAGGTGCGTGCATGCTTAGGCCAGCTGTAATACTCTGGCCCCTGTTGCTTTGGCCTCCTCCAATCTTTGGGCACCAAGGACCACAGGAGGGAGGACAAGGGGTTGCTGAGGATCAGGGGGTGCTGAAGACAGCTCAGCACTGGCCTGCAGGAGTCCCTTGGCATGAACAGCCTGGGCCATGAAGGGTGGTGGGAGGCAGACAGCTTCCTGGGCAGAAGGGGGTGTGTCCCAGGTGAAGCCCCACCTTCAGGCTGGGGAGGGCCTGAAGCCTCTGGCTGACCTGCCAGTCCTGCAGACCAGAGAGGGGGTTGTACTTATTCCTGGGCCCACCCATGACTGCTCATGGACAAATAAGCACACATTTCCCTCCTCTGAAAACCATAAAATCCCAACTGCACAAAGGAGCTCTCCTTTCTGCTGAGAGCTGGGAAGACCACCAGATGATCAGCTGCAGAGAGGAACTGACTTCTCTGCTGGGAGCTGAACACTCTGGACAAGCTGCCTGCCGAGGAGCTACCCACCACGGGGTTTCTCTGAGCTGTTCTAACACTCAGGGAAGCTCCTCTTCATCTTGCTCCCCCTCCACTTGTCTGTGTACCTCATTCCTTCCAGATGCAGGACAAGAACTTGGGGAAAGGAACCACCAGCTGTAGAGGTTTCTGGCCAGAAAAGCAGCACCCCAGAGATCCCATAACATTCAGGTGGGGAAGGCTGGCATCCGCAATATGGTAGAAACGATGTCTGTGCCTAGAACCTCATCATTCGCAGTCCCGAATACGGTCCAGTATACAAATCTTAGGCAAGGAGTTCCCCCTTGTCTCGGCCACATACCTTTTGCATTTTGGGATCCTTTTGAAATGCACAGTTTTCATCTTCCGAAATTTTCTTGCAAATTGTTCGGGCAATTTTGACCTCAATATAGTACTCCAAACTATCTGTCACCTGTCAATGAGTAACGTAAAAGTCATGTATCATTAAAGAATATATGATATCAACTGTCATCTCCAGCAAGTAAACAGGTCATTGACTACTCAGGGCTAGGAATGTCTTTCTGCCTTCTCCCTCTTCAACTGTTTTCTGTCCAGAGGTTTTCAGGTAATTTGGAAGATTTCTTGCCTTGTCTCTCTGTCTCACCATAGTATTTAATTTTAAAGTAATGGCACTGTCTCCAAAATAAAGCAAGGAAACAATTCTCCCAAAAGTATTTTCCTGGGGAAGCTAATAGTTTGCTTATTAGAGCTTGGGAAACAGCAGTGCAAGGTTCTGTGGACTGACTGCACCATGGACTACACCATAGTCAAGCCATGGTGACCCCGTGACCCACATGTACACCTCACCTTGGCCCCCCGGAGCCAGAAAATATTAGATAACAAGAAAACTACAGAAAGAGAAGATTAGCTAGCTCCTGCAGTGCCTGATTAACCAACCTTGCAACGTTCCACCATTGTTCTACCTCAACTGATAAGTCGACCTTGTGACACTGGACCGTGTGATCTGATTGACCGACCTGGCAAAATTCTACCATTTTTCTTGCCCCAACTGATAAGTCAACCTTGTGACATTGGACACTGTGACACCGCCCCCAACCATAAAACCAGGTCCTATCCCACCACCATCTGCTAAATCTCTCTTTTTGGACTCAGCCCACTAACACCTGGATGAATAAACAGCCTTGTTGCTCACACAAAGCCTGTTTAGGTGATCTCTTCATTCAGAGTGTGGTTAACAATCAGTGCTTATAGCATCTTCACACCTAATCAATAGATATTGAGGAAATAAAACTATGACCCAGAAGTAGAGCTTGCTCAGTGTGTATTTATACTGACGCTCTCTAAAGTTGCCCATTGTTTGCCAATCTTAGTATCCACACCCTACTGAAATGCAGATTCCTCCAAAATTTCTGCATCTAGAGGCATTCCACCTGCCACAAAGCCCCTAGCAGCCCTTCCATTCAAGGAGAACCTCTTGGGGAAATGGAGCAGTTCAATGGCAAAGGACTTTATTGAAAATGAACAAGAAAACAAGGTTTACAAGACTCGGGGGAGGGACATATTAAAGAGAATGACCAAGTTAAACACAGTAACTGTCCCGGAGACAACTGACAAAATCCTTACAATTTTTTTTAGAAATTCTAGAAAAGCTTCCTAGGCATTGAACAAAAGAAATGTGTCATGCAGAATTCTAAGATGCCCCCGGGAGTCCTGCTCCATGTTGTGCATGCCCTGTGGGATCCCTAGGACTATGAACAGGATGGATTTTACTTCCTCTGGGGCAGAGCTGGATTCAGACATAGGGAGATTGACTTGGCTGACCTGACCTACTCACATGAGCCCTTTAAGTCTCAGGTTAGAGGTCAGAGAGAGAGATGCACACCCTTGGGTTAGGCAATTTCACTTGTGGATGTATACCTAACCTCAGAGGCACACACATGTGCAGAGACACACCTCATTTTGCTGTACTTGGAAATATCATGCTTCACCGTGTTCTTTACAGATTCAAGGTTTACGGCAACTTCAACTCAAGCACCATGTCCCAATATCAGTGCCATGTCCCCAACATGCCTATGCACATGTCCTCTCTCTGTCACGTTTTGGCAAGTCTCACAATGTTTCAAACTTTTAAATTTTCATTACATCTGTTATGGTAACTTGGGATGAGTAGTCTTTGATGTTACTATGTAATTGTTTTGAAGCACTGTGAACCATGACCATATAAGTCGGTGAACTTAAATCTCTAAATGTGTGTGTTCCTGCTGCTCCCCACCTCTCTCCCCTCCTTGGGCCTCCCCATTCTCTGAGACACAGTAATACTGAAATAAGGCCAACTTGACAACCCTCCTGTTGCCTCGTTGTAAAGTGAAAAGAAGAGATACCCATATCTCACTTTAAATGGAAAGCTAGAAGTGATTAAGCTTAGTGAGAAAGGCATGTTGAAATCCAAGACAGGCCGAAAGCTAGAACTCTTGCACCAAACAGTTAACAAAGCTATGAATGCAAAGAAAGAGTTCTTGGGAAAAAATTAAAGGTGCAACTCTAGTGAACCCATAAATGATAAGAAAGCAAAACAGCCTTATTGGTGATACAGAGAAAGCTTTAATAATCTGGATGGAAGATCGAACTAGCCACAACATTCCCTTAAGCCAAAGTCTAGTCGTCTAGTCCAGAGTGAGGCCCTAACTAGCCGTAATTCTATGAAGGCTGAGGGAGGTGAGGAGCCTGTAGAAGAAAAGTTGTAATTTAGCAGAGACTGGTTCATGAGGTTTAACAAAAGAAGCCATCTCCATAATGTAAGCAGCAAGTGCTCACGTAGAAGCTGTAGCTAGTCATCCCAGAAATGCAGCTAAAATCAGTGACAGAGGTGACTGCACAAGCAGGAGATTTTCAGTGTAGACGGAACAGCCTCCTGTTGGAGGAAGATGCCATCTAGGATTTTCATAACTAGAGAGACGTCAGTGTCTGCCTCTAAAGCTTCAAACGACAGGTTAACTCGCTTGTTAGAGGCCAAGGTAGCTAGTGATTTTAAGTTGGAGCCAATGTTCATTTACTATTCTGAAAATCCTAAGGCACTTAAGAATTATGCTAAATCTACTCTATGTATGAGAAAACAACAAAGCCTGATGCAAGTATTTCGGTTTACAGCATGGTTGACTGAATATATTAAGCCTACTACTGAGACATAATGCTAAAAAAAAGGAAGCACATGCACAATTCCCTTCAAAGTGTTGCTGCTTGTCGACAATGCACCTGGCCACCCAGGTGCTCTACATACAAGGATTTATATGGTCTCCATGTCTGCTAACACAGCCTCCTTCTGTGAGAGTTATTTCAACTTTCAAGTGTTATTATTTAGGTAAAACATTTCCTAAGGCTGTAACTTCCATAAAGAGTGATTCCTCTGATGGATCTGGGCAAAGTAAATTGAAAACCTCCTGGAAAGGATTCACCATTCTAGATGCCATTCTGAATATTTGTGATTCATGGGAGGAGATCAAAGTATCAACATTAAAAGAAATTTGGAAGAAATTGATCCAACCGTCATGAATGACTTTGAGGGACTCAAGACTTCAGTGGAGGAAGTAATTGTAGATGTGGTAGAAATAGCAAGACAATCAGAATCAGAAGTGGAGCCTGAAAATGTGACTGACTGCTGCCATCTCATAATAAAACTTGAATAGATAAGGAGCTGTTTCTTAGAGATGAGCAAAGAAAATGGCTTCTTGAGATGGAATTGATTTCTGGTGAAAACGTTGTGAGTATTGTTGGAACTACAATAAAGGATTTAGACTATTACACAAACTGAGCTGACAAAGCAGCTGTGAGCTTTGAGAGAGTTGTCTCCAATTTTTAAAAAAGTTCTACTGTGGGTAAAATGCTATCAAACAGCATCATGTTAGATGTAGTGAACCCCAAGTTTCTCTTCCCAGAATCGGTGTGTCAGCGTGTTCGGCTCTCTTATTCTTTAATTGTCTATTTTAAAGTTTAGCTTCTTTGTAGTTCCAGTAAATAAACTTCTCCACCAGTTCTAATCAGCAGTTCACATCTGTTCCCCTGGCCCCAGCTCTGGCTCCATCCTGACTCATCCTGGTCACCTGCTTCAGTCACCTGCTCCAGTCACCTTCTTTAACCTGGGTCACCCCTGGCCACCTGCTCTGACCTGCCCATAACGGTCCTTCCCACAAAACCACCCACCCTGTCACTCCAGCTCGAACCCCATACTCTCTTTAAAATAGCCAATCAGGATTAGTCTAGCTTGTGCGGTCTAACCCTAGCCAATAGGGGAACGACACAGCACTGGGGATGACCCCTGACAGGCATGAGTACCTCTTCCCCTCCTTGTCCAGGTGTCCACTTGCCATTGCTCCATCTGCGAGCTGCACCCTTCTATGGAAGTAAATTGCCTTGCTGAGGAAGTTTATATTGGAGTGCTGCTTCTTTTGCAGCATCAAAAATTCCACTTATAACAATTCCGTGTTACAGGAATTAAGTCAATCAATGTGGCAAACCTCACTGTTGCCTTATTTTAAGAAACTGCCGGCCTGGCGCGGTGGCTCATGCCTATAATCCCAACACTTTGGGAGGACAAGGTGGGTGGATCACGAGGTCAAGAGATCGAGACCATCTTAGTCAACACGGTGAAACCCCATCTCTACTAAAAATACAAAAATTAGCTGGGCATGATGGCGCGTGCCTGTAATCCCAGCTACTCAGGAGGCTGAGGCAGGAGAATTGCCTGAACCCAGGAGGCGGAGGTTGCGGTGAGCTGAGATCGGGCCATTGCACTCCAGCCTGGGTAACAAGAGCGAAACTCTGTCTCAAAATAAATAAATAAATAAATAAAGCAATAAAAAGTTTTGAGGAATAAATGTGCATTCTCATTTTTAAAAGGTTTTTAAAAGAATAATGTAAAGGACTTCTCCTACTCAATAGCAACTCTACAATACTGACCCAGCAACGAATAAATCAATCAAGGAAAGAGAATCAAGAATCCTGCAACAGACCCAAATATGTTTGGATACACAGTCTGGTATGCTGGCTTTCCAAAACACAGAGGCCTTTTATAGACAGGGTCAGGTTTAGGTTAGATCCAGTCCCCACACCATAAATAGAAATAATTCCAAGATAGATTACTGAGCTAAAATTATTAATGTTTTAGAAAAATTGTAACTGTTATACTCAAGAATGGAAAAGAACTTCTTAAGCAAGATACAAACTCCAAACAACATATGGGAAGAAAAAATAAATGTTACTTCAATATTTAAAAAAAAAAAAAAAATCTTAGACCCAGCACGGTGGCTCACACCTGTAATCCCAGGACTTTGGGAGGCCGAGGTGGGTAGTCACGAGGTCAAAAGATCAAGACCATCCTGGCCAACACAGTGAAACCCTGTCTCTACTAAAAATACGAAAAAATTAGCCGGGTGTGGTGGCACACGCCTGTGGTCC